TTTATTATAAACTTAATTTGTAAAGATTAATATTGGACCGAAAAACACTTGACAAATTTTCTTTGCTTTACAGATTTTTGGCACACCTGGTGTGACATTTGTTCGTCGTCGAGTAGGCGAAGAATTTACTCCGGAGTGTGTGGTACCTACCGTCAAACATGGCGGCGGCAGTGTGATGGTCTGGGGGTGCATGAGCGCCGCAGGAGTTGGGGAAATGTTTGTGTGTGAAGGACGCATGGACTCTACAAAGTACATAAACGTTCTTGAATCCGCACTTCTGCCCTCGTTTACGACACTTTTTGGTGACACCAACCTGGAGAGCGTCAAATTCCAGCAGGATAACGCACCTTGTCACAAAGCTGCCCGAACGATGGCTTGGTTTAGTGACAATAGCATCGAGCTGCTTGAATGGCCTGCCCAGTCACCAGACCTGAACCCCATCGAGCATTTGTGGGGTCTATTGAAGCGCAAGGTCCGGCGCCATTCAATAATAACAAAAGAAGACCTAAAACATCGCTTGCGAGAAGAGTGGAACGCTTTAACATGTGACGATTGTAATAAATTAGTACAATCTTTACCAAAAAGAATTTTTTTATTTCGGATATCCGATAGTTTCGGTTACGGTTACGGATATCCATAACATCCCTGCTTGGTAAGATGGCCCTCTCCGTCCCGCTCATACCTTTTAAAATGGCTTCTCCACCTCACTTAAGCCAGAAACTTGAATTTTGGGCACATTAGAATAATATTTTTAACCAAGGTAGATAAAGTTAAAAACGGGATTATTTCCAATAAACAAAAATTGTCGACAATTACAGCAAGATTTTACAAAGTATTATACCATTTTGGAATCCTTACTAAATGCGCCAAATTATGACGTCACTTGCCACACTCGCGTAGTACATTTTTTTTTTCAGTACAGTCAGTTTAAACTAGGCAAAATTTTTATTTTGATATTTTTTTTTGGGAATAATGTATTTTTTTCATCCAAGTTGGAGCAGCTGGTTTTGTAATTTTGATAACAATTTAGAGAAGCATTATTCAGGCTTACATAACAAAAAAAAAATTTGGAAAAAGTGAAGATTTGTGGCAACATGAGTAAAAGGACCGTCATCTGGAGTAGAATTTTTAGATTTTTTTTAAATGCCTATAATTTTTTAAATATGCCACATAGATTTTTTTTTATATTTTTCTGATAACCAGCACACCTTGCCTCAACACCCAGTTCCGGCTTGACGTTACATTACGGGACACCCTGTATATGCGAGTCGATTCTTGAGTGTCTGCAATCTGCATATTAGAGATTTTTTCGACATTCTCATTCCCCAACTAAGTATCGATACTAGACAGCTATTTTACAAAGAAAACACCTAGAGTATCACAGCGTAGCATAGCAATGTTCTCACAATAATCTAATAGTTTCTCCACAGCACTGAGTAGTATTAACGTCAGCAAACATTACATTAGCGTATCGTGGCGCGCTGGAGGTAATATAAGTGCAAGTCAAGTATCCAGTGTTTTATTTATGAAAGTGGTTCTACCACCTTTGACAGTAGAAACAAGAAGTAATTTGATCGTTTCCTACCTGGAAGTGCTTGATGTACCCCTCGCAGACGAGGCGCAGGTCGCTGACGTAGATGTCCTCAGTATCCACCAGCTCTCGTAGCACATACTCGCGCTTCTTCAGCATGGCCTCGTAGCTCTCTTCGGACACCTGTTCCTCCTCGTGCCGGCCCGAAGCCGACGCGTTAGGGCACCCATGTTGTTCCTGCCAATCCACAAATATCCGTAAAACATTCTGCCTACACCCACGTGTTAGGATTTGCCACACTGGATGCGTTCTGTGGTCTCTACGTATACACATTTTGTACTGATGCGATAAAACCGCGCAAGGAACGCAAGCCGGACCGCTGACTAATTTCCTTGTCACGATCGCCCGATTGTGTTACCCGCACCCCTGACCTTACACGATGCGGGCTGCGTTCACTTTGACCTGACCGCAGACCGCATCCAGTATAGCAAATCTTTTTTACTCCACTCCAACCCTTCACGGAAAGCAGCTTTCAATTATCACAACTTTAACACAAGCTGGTAAGGTTCAAAGCGGCAACTATGTTCGCTGCTCTTTAGAGGTTTAAAGTTGTTTAATGAGTTTATTCCTACACTGGACTCGTGTATTCTAAAACGTAAAGGTGAGGTTGTTTTATTATTCACCCGATGACCGGAAATAACCCTCCTCGACATTTAAGATTCCGGGAGCTTTTACAAAAGTATTTGAAATAGGTATAAAGGTTATATTTTTTACGAATCTCTAGCGTTACTTCGAAAAGCGAAACTTTACATTTTATGGAAATAACGCAAACTTGAATCTGAATTTGAGTTCATAGGAATATATTGATGTCAAGCTGATTAAAGACGGCATCTTATATTTCAATTAATGTAAAGCACTGCGCTTAACATGATTAACACGTATTTTGCAAGGTTTTACATCACAATTTAAATGTACAACTCGTTGGTAGGCTTAAGACAACGCAATCAATTAGCAAATCTCCTATAGGCGTCTCACTGTGTAAGACTTCGCAAAGAACATTCTTGAAGTAGATCGTTATTAAGCTATATTATAATCTCGGATATCATTAGTTCCATGAATCTGGCTGAATACAGACACAGACGATTCTATTTGGATAATTAAATCATTCGGTTAAGCTCCTTCGGTTGAATACTGGATACATTCCTGAGTAGAATAAAGAGTGTTTTGTTCTAAACGGAGCGGTACGATTTTAGCTCCAGATTTACAATTGATGGCTCACTGATTCATTGTGATTTTTGTTTCCTGGAAAACCCCATTTTTAAAGCTAGTAACCCAACATGTAATAATACCTACTTTACTTACATAAATACATATAGGCACTCTAATCATGACACGATAATTGAATAAGCGATTTGATAATACTGAGGTGATTTAATGGTGTTATAGGTAAGCGCGCTGAATGAAATTCAGCAATCATGCGGCGGAAAGCTCACTTAATGTATGTGTTGTTTGCGAAGCCGCGGAACGAGTAAAGTCGTGATAGTAAACGCCCGGCACAGAGTGCTGCGAGCGCCGTAAAAAGGCACACCACACTCGCCCGAGTCGGAAAGTTCCGCGCGTGCTCGCGACGCCTGCGGCGGGCTATAACGTCGCAAGCTCACTCAAAAGTTATCCCCTACTAACTTGCCCTCATCAACTGGTGAAACCTTCGTGAAGTGTAAGCAGGAAAACTAAGTTTACAGCAGTATATTACCGCAGTGCAACAATATTAAAAAACTTTTGCATCTAAACAACAAACGTTACGGTACGATAAGACAAAAACGCAAAAACCTTTTTCGAAATACTGGCGATGTTCACACAAACAAAAAAAAAAACAAGCAACAAATGTTTGGCTTACGGTATCCGCTGAGACGTACACAATATCAACTGGCAAACGAAAAAGCAATCCGATCTACCACACGCTGAACGAGGTTACAAATCACATGCACACACTACATGCATTATTTTTGAACCGAACCATTTTTTCCTTAACGATTTGCTCTATCTCGGCAATATCGGCCGGGCCGCCGTTACTATCCAAAGCCTCCAGCGATAATGATGCCTGAAAATTGAACCAACATGTCACCTGAGTATCTGTGATACAGCCCTGAGATCCCAGAGTTAGTCACAATTAATATTAGTTAGAAGTCTGAAAATTATTGGTTTTAGGTACGAATAGCAAGTAAATAATTAGGGTTAAATAAAGTTAGTTTTATTCCACTTACTCGTGACGGATTCGATGCCGCAGCTGGTTGCGCGGGGGCCTGGAGGACGGCCTGCGGGTCCTACGAAACAAATCATACATTATTTATGAACATGAAGCTCATGGTCGTCACAATAACTGCGTAATAATAAGTGACACTATCCTGGAAGAGTAAACCTTGGGGTAATATGATGTCGAAAGATTTAAACGCATATGTAGAAACACGAAGTGGAATATAAAAGAGCGTTGTCATGCCAGCAGGCCACGCCGGCGGGAGAGGCAATCAGACATGTGAATGAGTCGTTAATCTGTGACTGGTGACGAGCTGACGTAACCCGCGCCCGTGCCATCACTCGCTCGTAACGAAGTACGGCAACCAGGAAAGCCTATTTACCCCTCCCTCCTCACCTTCGCGGGTCGTCTTGACGCCTCGGGCGGACTACAAACTCAGTCTCTCAAATATTATGTCGGACAAATTGGATCAACTTAAGAGTGATTATTTGGATACATTGTAAATTTGATCCTATCTTCACGTTCAGAAGTATTTCCCTCTTGTTGGAGAAACGAGTGACAAGAAAAAATTACTGAGGAATTAAGAACATCTTTTTGACTCGAAATTTTGTTCTAATTAGACTTAGCATACATTAGGACTTCGGAGTTTACAATGACCCCCAATTTAGCATTACTTTATTTATTCTAAATGTGCCTCAGAGTTGTTTGATCTGGTCAAAGCTTTAATTCATGTGGCTCGTAAATCGAGCCAGTCAATAACTTCCACTACACTGAACGGGTCGGAGAGAAACTCATATCGGGTATTATTGCGTTCTTCAAGATATTAATAATAAACTAACACAGCAGTAGGTATTTGGATTAAGTTGGTTTCGTTAACTCAAGTATTGGTTTAATACGTATTGAAAAGGACTAAAAGTACTTTATAGTAATACCTTGTATAATATTGATACATTCGTCAGGTTAGATGTTAAGCCCATTCAAGAACGTATGATATTTTGGGCAACGTGGCTAGAGCGCGATCACAGTTTTGTGGCTTACAACTTTGTACGTGCGCTCTTGCCAACTCTGTAGTGGAGCAACAAAAACTGCTAATTAGAATTTAAATGGTGTCATTTCGTGGGAACGCTCCGGTCACCTAAACTAAAAGTTCGTGTAAATAAAAAAAGTTTTATCGGTCGACTGCAACCATTACAAGCCTCGCAGCATCTGTGCTGCTCTCGCTCGATATCTACTGTATACTTAACGGCTGTAAAGTCATGACTGAGGTTTTCTTTGTTCAGGACAGCATATCTAGGGGTACAGTCAACACCACATCACGCAGCGTACGGGACTATTCCCACCTCTCGATCCCACCGTTGCAACTCCTGTGTAGCCACGATCTACAGCTTGACCGCCAATAAAAACCAAACCAGTGAAGGTCAAGTTTGTCCCGAGAGAAAGTTAAAATGTCACTGAACCCGCAACGAAATTAATCAGAATAATATAGGAGGAGTTCGAAGTTAAGATTTGACATCACGCAGCATGTTATCATTGTAATATAGCACTTATTAAGTGTTCATAAGCTTACCTGTATGGGCTTCATGGGCGGCGGCAGCTCTAGCGCGGCGGCGTCGTCTTCCACCTCCTCTAGCGCGGCGGCAGCGTTGTGGCTGCCCTCGCCTTCATCGGCGCGCTCGCCGTCGGTGTAGCCCAACTGTTATGCAAACAATACATTAGATTCCCTTGAAAACTCACAAAAATAAACTATCGCGTCGTCAACCAATTTTTTTCCACTGCTGGACAAAATACCCGTCCCGCACACCTCGAATCTAGGTGGTGACTACCTTTACCAGATCGTCCGGTCCACAGATACACTACGTTTGCCTGCCTACACTACGTTTTCATTAAAATAGTCAACAGAGATTGAAGTAGCGTTCCTCGAAACTCGAATTAGCAGTCTGACACAGACGTTGGTCTATTATCGCCTTATATCCTTTTATCCTTCTATTAAAATAAGTAATTAGTCGGTAGACTTAGTGAAATAAATAAACATAATTTTGCTGCTAAATTCTGAATACATGTTTACATGTTAATTAACTAGCAACCATCATTATGTTATACTTAACTTACGACATAATCTAAGTAAAGCGACGTAAAATACTTTAGCAATTTCAAATTCATCTGCTCAAGTGTTGTCTAAAATGTTGTAAATTGTTACGAGTTCTAATTAAGTTTGAGAGTGAGAAACGTCAGAATATAGGTCACTGTTAGATGGTACTGCACTTAAAAAAATTTAAAGCGGAGCGCGAGGCGATGTACGAGTAACATAATTTACAAAGTGAACAGCACTTTTAAAGAAAGTTCTAAGCGCTGCAAAGACAAAACATTGACGAACCTCTTGTAATTTATTTACATTAATAATTAATAATAATTTCATATGAAGGTCCTGGTCGGAAAAACCAGACGATATGTATACTTAACTAGCTTTCTGCCCGCGGCTTCGCCCGCGTGGAATTTTGTCTGTCACAGAAAAACTTTATCGCGCGCGTCCCTGTTTCAAAAACCGGGATAAAAACTATCCTATGTTCTTTCCCGGGACTCAAACTATCTCTATGCCAAATTTCATCAAAATCGGTTGCGAGGTTTAAGCGGGAAAGCGTAACAGACAGACAGACAGACAGACAGAGAGACAGACAGACAGACAGACAGACAGACAGACAGACAGACAGACAGACAGAGTTACTTTCGCATTTATAATATTAGTTGGGATTGGGATTAGCCGTTGCTACGCCGGTGTACATTTCAACTTGTTATGGAAATACTTTCGCTCATCACGAGGGAGGATCATTTTCTATTCAAAATGAAACGTCAATCAATCGGTGTATGAGTATCGCTTTCCATTTCTTATACGACTTTCAGAGTAGGCATAAGGTAACTTCTATGATTAGCGTCTATAAACTGGTTCATTATTAGTATCATTGCATACGCCCGTATTCACAAACGATGCTTGTTTAAGTGAAGCAGCAAATCGAACGCACAGCTTTGAATAGAGCTCTGTGAATGGTACGTGTCACCCTGTACGTCCACACTGTGAGACCTCATAGTTTGTGAATACGGGCGATAGACTCGTAAATAAGTATTGTCTATAAGTCGTGTGCTGATCGAATGTAGTCAGTATAAAAATGACGGTCCTACGAGCTAAAGTCGAAGGCAGCGAATGTATAACTTCTTACCTTAAGCTTTCTGTCTGATGGTATTTTCTTGAGTGATGGTTTGTCCGCCGTAGCCGGGGACTGAGCTCCACTTGGAGCTTTTTCCTTTCCCTGGGAAGGTTTCCGGAGGCCCAGCCAGCGCCGCCTAAAGAAGAATAGAAAATTAAAATGTATCTTTTTTGAAACTATAGCAACTTCAAAATTAATTGACTGTTAAACATTCGTAAGAATGTATTCACTGTAATCCACATCTTCTTTGTATTTAGTTGCAATAAAAAAATATTCATTGTCAACATTACTCGAAGTGGTATTATCAAATTGCAATCCCTATTTAACTGGATATTACAACTGGAATACGGTGAACAAAAGAGAACGACAAACGAGAAAAATATTTGCTACTATTTTTCTATCAGTTTTGCGTCGTAATTGAATTTGCAGTGTATTTGATATTTCATTGTTCGCTTTCGTGTTTTTGTGAGCCATGCAGCGCTCGCCACAACCGCTGGCCATTGAATTAGGGATTAATTGGATTGCGTGCCATTGTGCATAGCAGCCAAGACATCCACAGTCAAGCCTTTCTAATATAAATAACTTCCTAATGAAGTAAGTTCCCCTTAAATTCCTTAGATATCAATATAATAACTTGCTACATTTCGGTACTACAATATTAACGCATTCTCCGATGTTAAACACTGCATAAATTATGATGTCATGCCTGTTACTTCGAGATTTCCCGATGGCAACTATGCTGGTAAACTAATAAAGTAACTCGGGCTCGGTATAAACAGCACAACTGCTATATTATTAATCGAGTTCAGTCACACGACCCCACAATACCAAGCTGTTAGCGTACCTACTACCAGTTGCTTACTATTATAGTGATACAAAAACTAGCGTCGTTTTCGTCTACTACTACTATTTAAGAAAAGTAATTGAATACGTCCTTTGTATGTAGATGTCACCGTAAAATTGTGAATTCCGTCAGATTATAATCTGACGTAGTTAAATTACAATCTAACCTAACCTAACCGACTGTTAGTTTACAATCTAACGCGTTATACAGGGTGTTTGGCGCATCGTGTGCCAAAATGATTTGGCGGATAGAATGGGTCATTTCCTATATTTTCAGCCCCCATAACACGTTCCATGTCAGGCGGGCTACTTTTATATTAAGTTTTTTAGTAATTTCACCAAAATACCCAAATCGCATCATTTAATTTCGATTTAAAAAAAAACTACTAAGCGTAGCCTCAAAGTAAATATTTTGTTTTGACGTGCATTGACATAGGGTTGCATCAAATCTAAATTTACTGGCAAATATCATCTAGTTTTTTTTTAATTCAGCTTTGAACTTTTCCGAAAAGTTAAAAATGGACTGAACATTTAAGTTTACATGGCTATAAATTTTTTTTAAAAGAGATAGCGATCTTCGGATTTTATCAAAACTTCTCTAGTCTATCCCCATTCAAACGGTATACTAATCTTGTTTAAATAATAACAACAACTTCACAAATTCCCTAAATTAGTGCATTGACTCTATTCGGACTGATTTGCGAAATTTGTGTTTATAGCCCCTTTTTGTGTGAATAACACGTTAAATACCTACAGGTAAAAAATATTTATCTTATGCAATGTAAAAAACCTTTTCTCTATCGTTTTTCAATGTGGATTTCTTGAAATTAAAGACGAAAATAATTATTTTGATCGTTTATTAATTATTACAAATTTTGTTCAAAATGTCCGCCTCGGCAACGTATACACTAACGACATCTTCGACTGTTGTCGTATGCAGCCTCATTTCTCTTTTTATTACTATAAAGGCGTTTTCTATTCGTTGTTGTAGTTCTTCTAATGTTTGAACTTCCGTTACGTACACCAGTTCATTACCTCGTCCCCAGACGTAAAAATCTAACGGAGTTAGGTCTGGGGAACGTGCAGGCCACTGTATAGGGCCAGTCTAAATTAGAAGAAGATGTCGTTACTTAGTGTATACGTTGCCGAGGCGGACATTTTGAACAAAATTTGTAATAATTAATAAACGATCAAAATAATTATTTTCGTCTTTAATTTCAAGAAATCCACATTGAAAAACGATAGGGAAAAGGTTTTTTACATTGCATAAGATAAATATTTTTTACCTGTAGGTATTTAACGTGTTATTCACACAAAAAGGGGCTATAAACACAAATTTCACAAATCAGTCCGAATAGAGTCAATGCACTAATTTAGGGAATTTGTGAAGTTGTTGTTATTATTTAAACAAGATTAGTATACCGTTTGAATGGGGATAGACTAGAGAAGTTTTGATAAAATCCGAAGATCGCTATCTCTTTTAAAAAAAAATTTATAGCCATGTAAACTTAAATGTTCAGTCCATTTTTAACTTTTAGGAAAAGTTCAAAGCTGAATTAAAAAAAAACTAGATGATATTTGCCAGTAAATTTAGATTTGATGCAACCCTATATCAATGCACGTCAAAACAAAATATTTACTTTGAGGCTACGCTTAGTAGTTTTTTTTTAAATCGAAATTAAATGATGCGATTTGGGTATTTTGGTGAAATTACTAAAAAACTTAATATAAAAGTAGCCGCCTGACATGGAACGTGTTATGGGGGCTGAAAATATAGGAAATGACCCATTCTATCCGCCAAACCATTTTGGCACACGATGCGCCAAACACCCTGTATTATAAACTGACAGAGTTCACAATTTCACGTTGACATATACATTAGCGTTTAATTGTCTATTCGTCAACAGTAGATAGTAACAAATTGCATATCCCACGAAGTAGGTTACTCAAACCCTTTAAGATGAGCTAAGGGTCGTCGCCGCGAGGAGCTGAATACAAATTAAGCGATCAATCAATTCACTTAGGTGGGTTCTATTTCGAGGAGAATGCCAGTCGGCCACTCGGTTTTCCCGAAGCTTTTAGGTAGGTACAATACTCGTAATAGAACTCGTAAGGATTCTTAACTTAATGTCTCATATCTACTACAGTAAATGCCCGTTAACGTAAAATTGTGATTAGATAATAAGGAGTTTGAAGAGACTTTCGAGTACCTACATAAAAGCTTATTCTGCCACGAATTTTCGTCTGCAAAATATCATGTTTTTATCTGTTAAGAAAATGTAATAATAACACATAATTTTGGATCATTGTAATTTGTACCTTGTTATGAGTGTTAATTAAAGGTTTTTGATCGGGCCTTCGCCATCGCGACCACGAATGACAGTGTACTACAGTTTCACTGCGTAATCAGATACATAAACCACATTGGCTGATGTATAGCGCTAACACTAAGAGGGTAGGGTTAGCAACTTGACAGAGTAATTATAATTAGACTAGAAGTATAAATTAAACTGAAGGACATATTCAGCATTAATCTTCGTGATTTGTATTGTAGATAAGGCTTGTTGTAATATTCAGAGGCCATAAATCCGAAAAAATGATGTCCTTAACAACTTAGCGTGCTTACTTATCGATCTAAGGACCTGTATAAATCAACGTTCAAGCAGACTAACTCTGCAATTGCAATAATGCACGTACATTTCCAGAACGATTAGCGAGCATTTAGTAGGGGTTCCAATTAACAATTGCAACTGGTGTAAACGCTAAGCTTGGGGGCAAAGGGAACTCGGCGGTACACAGACACTTCCGAGCATCAATAAAGCCGAGTCAGACGTACGCAATCCCGCCATTTGCCGTGTTCCGTTCGCTTGGCAAAAGTAAGCGGACTGCGGAACTGTTTGCGTCAAGGACAATTGAGACAAACCAAAACACTAAACAGTAAATTCAAAAGCAAGATTTAGAGTCTCTTTTACTTGTATGTTTTCAAAAATCTTTGTAACTCAATTCTGAATACTATAGGCAAGTGTTTAAGGCTTTATTACAAAATTATAATGATGTAAGTAGAGACTACCTACGGGTCTTCCTCCTTCGAACAAGACTGTTACATTGGTGTAATTGAGTCTTATAATAACCAACTTGAAAGATAAAATAACATACTCTCAGTAACTCTAGCATACCTTACAACGAAAAGCAAGAGATTACAATTAATTTAGTTTTTATCTTAGATGTAGAGACAAGTAATCGGTCGTCATCGAGCCAAGGACCCGCCACCGCATTGCGGTCGGTCGGTAACAAAAACACTTATAATGAATCGTCCGCCGGCCGGCTGCGCATGTTGCGTAACAAACAAAAACAAACCAGACTTACTTCGAGAAAACCACTTGACTCCACATAATTATTGAAACTACGAAACTGACTAGCACAGTTGTTGCTCCACATCACTCAAACTCGCGGCTCGCTGGACGGACGGCGTGAGCGCTCGCACCTCCGGCTTGCAAATAAATACGCTGCACAAATACTGTTATCTGTTATCTACGTCGAAGGAGCTAATAATTGAGTTGTAGTAGAGCGATATCGTTGCTAAGATTACAGTGATAATTTGAATATGGCAACACGCAAACGCGACATAAAAATGTAGGTGATACACAAAGTATGAGTTCCCAATTATACGGCGATAGGAGATCGATGGCCCAGTCTGCCGCGGGCAAACGGCACGAGCGACAAAACGGTGACAGACAGCTTAACGGGAGAAGACGTAAAATACACCCAATAAAATTATTGCGTAATAGAGTTGTTTGGGTCTGAAAATTTTAATTGGCTGAAATAAAATAAACGTTGGAATTTTAATCTAAAGTTGTTAGCTTATCAGAAATCAATGATTGTAATGATTGGATGACGTAATTACATAGAAAGTTACAGATATCAGAAAATTTTATTTAGTAGACATTAGCTAAACAGATTATTTGGTTACAAGTCATGAATATAAAAGCTGTCGTAAGTTTATAAAGTGTTATTTTGTTTTAAGAAACTTTAAAGATTCTGGCTTGAAAATCAACAAACAGTATCGTAGGTAGGTACGTGTACTACATGTTAGTTAAACTAAGTAGGTATTAAATAAGAAATAACGTAACTACTCTAAATAAAATCAGATCGAAATTAAACTAAATAATAAGCGAATTCCATGTGGAGTGTCACAGTCGTTGGTTGATATTTAGTCACACCTAAACTTTTTCCACTACAAGAAAAAACGTTTTTTTTGTTTTACAAATCTTTTTGCACACCGTACATGACCATGAATGCTTCGCTTTTTATATGGTCGTAAATTTGAATGGAATTGCGTAGGTTTTCCTCAAGCATACGAACAATTTGGTATTGTTCAACGCAACACTCATAGTGATTGAGGACTGAGGAAACGTGAGGTGCTATGAGACCTGATGAAGCGGCAGCAGCCGTCCGCGCCGCAGGGCGCTCGCGCGTGCCTCTCTCGCTGCATGCCGGGCTGCGCGTGCGACCCGCCCGACCGACGACTGACTGCTTATCGCGCACAAATTAAATATAACACAAGAATCAAGATAAAAAACATGACTAACGATACGACAAATCGCCTCCAAGATATGAGATAACGAAATTGTTTTTGCTTGTTGCACATTACATAATGATGTGCAATCGGCACAGGTATTCTTGTTCTCGTTTCAGTACTAATATTTGTTTGAAGCAACGTGCACAGATAAAACTGTTTTAAATAGATCTATTTATGAAGGACGGAAGGTTATTGAATATTTATTTCATCTAAAGCGAGAGACGCAATTGAGCTTTTACTGGTCGAAAATACAATTCTTCTTTATGTAAATAACTAAAATATTAATTTCATCATTCAGATGTAATATTTTATGTGTGTGTGTGTGTGTGTGTGTGTGTGTGTGTGTGTGTGTGTGTGTGTGTGTGTGTGTGTGTGTGTGTGTGTGTAATACGCAGTACAGGGCGGCGGCACATCAAGCATCACACTTTAGCATATTATAGTCTAATGTATATGTTACGGTTAATGTGATAAATTGAAAATTATGAATAATAACCGGTTATTATGAATAATTACCGACAGTCGCGGTAAAAGTGATAAATGAATAACATTTAACAGTGATTATTTAATAATTCAACCTTAGTACTAACAAATATCATAAAAGAGAACAACATCTTGTGTACGTGCTCTTGTACAGCCAAAATTTTTGAACGTTTTGATATCATATTAATATAATTTGACATAATGAGTTTGGAATGTTTCTTGCATAATATTACTTTTCCATGATGCCCATAACATAATGTTTTGTTTTAAGTGAAAAATAGGTTAAGGTGCGGCGGGGGTGGCCCTTGGGCCACCCCTAAGCCGCCTATTTAGTTTTATACACACATAAATGACCTCATATTAATCACATTTACCAAATCATGAGGTAATTATTCATAATAACCGGCGATTATTCATAATTTTCACATTTATCACATTAACCGTAACATATACATACTGTCTTGTGATAAATTCTATTTTCCAACAAAAACGAAATTGTGATCTGCTGCCGACTGTAGTGTACATAGACCAAACTGTAGCTGGGTTGCACCATTTTACTTTAACTTTAACAAACGTCAAACTCCTTACAAAAACACCGATTAACGTCAAAGTTACGGTCAAAGTTAGGTGGTGCAACTCAGCCTTAATGTAAATAGAGACTTACGAGCTGAAGCCCCGGCGTTGCTTTCCCGGGCTCGCCACAGTGACACTCGCGCCCGGGTCCGAGTTGGATGCGTCTGCACAAAAAGAAACAATACGTTAATGCCTACGATACTTCTCAACAACCACATACTAAGCTAGTCTGTTTATCTTTTATGCTAGGCACAGGGAAATGTGGATCAAAGAGCTGTATATTTTGTACCGCTGCAATTAAGAACACACATGGCAGGCTTTTGTTCTCGTCACCTAGATTTTACATGACACGACATCCAATTACATCCTGACACCAGATAAATAAAAGCGTCCATCTAAAACCCTATTGAATAGACAGCAGATAGGTTTTATTGAAAAGCTTTTCATAGCACGTTAAATAAAGCGGATTCCGACGAGGATAGAATAAACGAGATATCTACAGGAATGGCCAGAGCTAGAGCTACATATAGGGCAGGATACTGAATCGCACTCTTTTTTCAGATTGACCAAAATAACAGCACCCTTCACGTACAGCCAAGTATAAAAATATAGGGTACATCATTTCGTCGTTGAATGAGGTCAGTATGGCTTAAAGTTGAAAATATTTTTTCTCCTCTTCGTTGCCCTACTATTCCCCACCTCTATAAAAGAGGATAGAAACCACAGCCGCATGAAAATCAACGAGTCGAGCCGAGAAGAATGGAGCGGAAACAGGCGGAAATACGGCCGTCGAGCGCTGTCAATGCCGCGAAGGTGCGCGGAGTTTACGTCTACTAATTGGATATTTCGCGCTGGAAATTGCGGAGCATCACCGCTGAAACTTCATAATTTTATAATTCATGCCAAAAAATGCAGAAACGTAATTTCAGTTAAGCTAAATTACATTATCATTCTCAAACTCACAAAATTGTTCACGCAAATACCTATTTCCGAGGCTGCTGCATGCGAGGCTTGTTTAGTCATTAAAATACATTGTAATATTAATTACCTTGTCAAGACCATGGACTACAGTTTGTAAGGGGATCAGTCTTGACATCAAAGGAATGCCTAGTTATTTGTCTCCATAATATTTCGTATTAATTAATAAAATAAAATTGCTTGCTAGAGCAAGTGACACTTTTCAAACAAACTTTTCGTCACTAATTTGTCACAAACATGTGTGTTATAGGGACACTATTTAAGTTGTGAGCCTAACTATAAAAACAAAGTAGTATATTATTAAAATGGTATTGATTGCGTTTATTGGTATTGTCTTTCATGATTTATGTACTTTTTAATGTGTCCGAAACACTTTTCATAGCATTTTTTCCACTCAGCTTGAGGCACCTCCAAAGCATGGTTTTTGACCGCACCGACAGTTGCTTCTGGCTACATAAATCGCTGTTCACGCATTTAATTTTAATATAATGGGGACCAAAAGAAGTGTTTAGATTCCAAGCAAGAATTTTGTAGCGTTGGATCTGTTTATTTCATATTTTGAGTGTTCAAATAGTCAGTTGTTTGACGAGACGTGTAAAAGCTCACATTTTCGTCACGAATGACGATTCGACTATGCTGGCCAGTTTCCCTTATTAAACTGAAGACTTTTGAAAAAAATGTGGCTGTTTACTATTAAGAATTAACCATTCTAAATTTATTTAGTGACGTTTCTGTCATATAATCAGATATTTCGGAAAAATATGCGACCGTAAGTTTCAAAGTGTTCCGAGCGCATGGGACTTTTGTTGGAATTGGTTCATCTTAAAACACCTCCATATTCGATAGCTGTTTATTTTCAGGATCATTATGCATAGATCCTTAATTCGTCAACTGTCACAATTTTAAAAACGGCTTTTAAAGCTTTTTGAACGTATTTATCAAACCTTTCCAAGGACTAAACGACACAAGTGTCCTATTGAGCGTTTGAAAAATTGTGTGACATCCAGCGAGAAAAAAACGTATTAACCATAATATGGTCAAACAATATTTTGTTACTGCTAGTGGAATTAATGCCTATGATTATCTCAATCCTACGATATATCACATGACGAGGTTTCTCTTCCAGTTTTCTGACAACATCAATGTTTTCAGCCACTATAAGTAATTTTGGACGACTTTCGCAAAGTTCACTGGTGAGCCAATGACATACAGTATTATACTTCTTAAACTAGCGTTTTACAATGGTAAAGGACAGATCTTTATCACCAAAAGTGAAATTTAGCTGACCGCTTCAGTTTTGTATTGATTAACCACGTCGAAAGTCATAATAAATCTTCGCGCGAAAATTTCCGCAAGTCAATTCCAGGTTTTTGTAGTCAAGATAATTTTCAATTCAATGTTAATAATACAAAACGTGCTCAAATGATAAAAAGTTTTGAATAAGGTTGTAGTCAAAAATGTCAAACTTTTCATTAAAAGTATTAGATGTCGTCTAACAACACGTTATGTTGTCGAGGCTCACAACTTAAATAGTGCCCTAGCAGCGTTTATGTTTACATGTGTGTTAAGTTTTTCAATACAGGTCTCGCTAACGTTAAAATCTAATTAAAATTAAGAATACTGAAACTTGACTTTCATAAACCTGACCCGATAGTTCCAAAAACTAGTTGTATCCATAAAAAATGTTGCCTTTGTTTTGAATATTGTAAAGGTACGAGTAAATGCTTTAGGCCCGATTCGACCAAACTTTTATCCGAGAATAACTCCTGGTATAACTGGCACATTGACTGTTTCAATATGGGAAATATGTCAAAATGACAAGTTTATTCTTCAGATAAAAGTTATCCGACGATGGTAAAACCAGTCCTTAATTTTATACATTACCTCAGTGTAAGTTTGAAAAGAGACGAAAGCGACAATCCACGTCGAGAAGTGAAACACGATGGCACTAAACACCACCACATTACTTAGTATACGTGGCGTTCGTGCGCCGTGGTAATACTATTAAGCGAACGATGCACAACACATTAAGTTACGACAAGGCGGGATCGCGGCGCAACTTGTTGAGTCGGAAGACCTCTGTTAACAATGTTTGTTTCTCGAAGTTAATTAAAAGCTTTGCTAATTACTCACTTGACGTAGAATTTAACATTTCAAACCAATAAGTACAACGCTCTCTACATAATCGACCGACTTTCCTACCCGTGTACAAACTCTTAGAACTTTTTCACTAGACAATTTTAACTAATACTCAGCAGTGCACGAGTTTTAAACTTGTCAGGAGTTTCCAACAGTTGACTACTTTTGAATAAACACGTGTACGGAGTTTTGTATCGGAGGTATTAAAATAACTAGCAGCGATTTTGCTATATTTGTGTGCACTTACATAATGTTTCATGGCTTGTTGAACCACATAAACATTTCTAAAATGATTTTGTGTCATTAATTTAATAACTATTTCCTCAGAAGGTTTTATTTGTTGTTTATATTTGGTGATGTAGAGGAGGATAGAGGAACGATTAGCTAGTTGTAACGAAGACATTCATTTCTGAAGACGTGAAGAGTGAGCGGTCTGATCGATTACGCATCAGTAACTAATTGGAGTTGTTATCAGTAGCACGACCGGTTGGTTTGGGTCATTGAGCTATAACTAATGTCCACGCGACGGAAAGGTACAATACAGCACAACAGACTACACATTTTTTGTTGCAAAAACGCTCTTATCACAACTGTATAAGATACCATGTTTACCTTGTTGTGCCGTCGTCCGTACGTGACTGCGCGGTGGCGTATTGACAAAGGATTACCGCGGTTAGGACTGATGTATTATTCTGGTTAGGTTACCCCGTTTAAATGATTGCGGCAATTAAATTAAAACTAATTCAAAACATTTAATCAATAATTTACTGGCAGTTTTAAGGTCTAACAGGATTACGTCAATTTACGGTGTAAATTACGGAGTTGTGGCTATAACTAGGTCTAGTATATAAGATGATACATAGGTATTACTACTATGTACAAGTTTTGGAAGATGATTAAATGACCAAAAAGTTTCAATAATTAAGGCCAGACTCATAAAAATACCGCTCCAGTTCCTTGAGTTACATCTTTTAAAAAAAAGTCAACGCAGTACGAGCAAGAGGTCAAAAGCTTAAAAAGTTCCCCCGTGCGAAGATATAAAAGATAGTAGGGCGGCCATTCATAAAGTTGAGATTTTTTATCAAGATAATTTAATCGTGCCTAAATGTTACGGAAAAAGGGTGAACCGGCGGCCCAAATATAATAAACCCCTGGTAATAAAAGCCCCCTGCAATGAGTCGGAAAATATGACACGTCCCATTTGTATGTACTGTGATGTATTTAGCTCTACCAGAGGTTTATGATTGCATTATGTTGTAATAGACTCTTACGATGGCAACAAATTGTATGAGTGGCCATGTATCAGAGTAACTGCACTCTAGAGTGATTGCAGTGGAAATTGTTCGTAACGAGATTTATAGGCATGCTCCATGAGTTGAAGTAAATAAAGGGAATAAAGTTGTTTAAGTGCAAAGTGCGCGCAAGTATACCGCCATTAGTTTACAATTTTATAAACATAACATTATATACTTGCACTTAAACCGCCTCTGTGGTCTAGTGGTAAGACCACCTGCTTTAGACGCAGAGGTCCCGGGTTCGATTCCCAGTGGGGGCAGATTTTTCTGTTCGGTTTGGTTGGTGGTAGGGCTTGTTCTAAGTTCGCCTGGCTAGCTACCACCATCTTACCTAAGTCTGTCGCCATAACGACAATGTTAATATCATTGTTGTGTTCCGGCAGTTAGAGGTAAGATAGCCAGTTCCTCCGTGGTTGAGGATTCCGGGTCAAGCTCGCTTCCACCTTCGGCCTGATCGTCACTTACCATCAGGTGAGATACAGGCCAAGAGCTTCCTCGTTGTGGATAAAAAAAAACGATTTTAAGACGGCACTCAATACTCTCCCACGTCAATATAATTGTCTATGTCAAACAAGTCTCTATGAAATATAATCCTAAAGTTTTTACACCACACTCGACTTTTTTTGCTAGGACAAATCACATTTTAGTACACAAAATGATTCATCTATTGATATTGGATAGGTACGACAGATGAGTTAGCTCCGTGGGACGCTGTGCTGTACATAGTTATTTTTTGGTCGAGTGAAGATTAA